AGCGCCGCCATACATTACGGAGCGGGGGTCAACTGCTAAGCCACGCCTACCCCCGCTATTTAAGACCTGACCTCGTGGTGATCTCTCTTTCTACCTACAGCCGCAGCCAGCAACACCACCTCCTCCGCCTGCCTGGCGGCCCTCGCTCCTCCGCCTGCCTGGCGGCCCTCTCTCCCGCTGGCGAGCATGGCGACCCACAAGCTGTCCTTCTCTGAGCACTCTCAACAACCAGCTCTCTACATCACGCTTGTAACCATTATTTCGTTACTTCTAAATTCATTGGTGCCAGAATTAATGAAATCCAACATGTTCTAGGGGTCGCGAATCCAAATATAAAAAATGAATTTTTGCGAAAAAACGTCAAAACTCAAGCTTTTTCTCTTATAGATCAGCAATCGCGCTGCTTTTCACTACTTAACCCTAATGGCTGGCTAGAGCAGCTATTCAGCTTTCCATTGACACCTAATTCGATTGCATGCACCTCTTATTTGACCTAAGGGGACTGTCAGGCCAACATCATCCACTACCCGTTCTGCCACTGAAATCTATCTAGTAGGCCAGCCAGCATCGTCAATTAGAGGCAGTAAACTCCCGACGATGCGTCAAGTCCTGAAGTTCTTCTTTCACACAGTGAATGAATCTGGTGACAGACAGGAGACGTTTAAAGAAACAGTGAGAAACGTACTCACGTTCTAGAATTTAGCTTTCATCAAGACTATCTCAGAGAGGGGGTGCCGGGAGAAGCTGACAAGGTTATGGGAGCACTGGAGAAGTCTACAAAAAAGTCGGGACAGGGCTGCAAAGGACAAGGTTGAAAACTTCAAGTCTCAACTTGACCTGTTGTGGGACATCGGAGCACCGGACGCCGTAGAGGACATCGAGAAGAACCGGCTGCTTACACCGGCTGACAAACAACAAGACATCGCCTTCTATCAAGACCAACGCGGAGAAAGAAAAGCGTTCATGAGTGGTAACGATAAGATTTTTGCCGCTAAGAAGAGAAAGCAGGAGGAACGAGTCAAGAAGCAAAGGTCGAAACAGGGAAGGTTCGCAGCCTGTGAACCAAGCAGCAGTGATTCGAGACCTCAAACCTCTGTGGTGGCTGACACCCCAACGGAAGTAGAAATGGAGAAAAAGGACACAGCGGTACAACCTGGCAGGTACACATCAAAGCACCCTTATGTGACGGTTCAGCTTCCACGTCGCATTCTCCAAGAGCCAGCATTAAAGGAACTCGCTGACCGTCTTCGGATATCCAATAACGAAGTAAGTGTATCCATAAATGTGTTTGGAATGTTTGAAATTTCTGTTAATTATTTGATAAGCACTTAAACAGTCGACATTTTCTACTGACACCCTTGCCTGCTTTTGCTCGCAGATAGTTTCGGTGGTCGCAGCAGTGCTGCGCTCTGCTAACCCGCCAGGCGATCTGTCTGAGTTCCGGATCTCGAGAAAGACTGCGAGACGGGCGCGAGCTTCACACCGTCGTCAGGTAGCTGCCGCACAAAGGGAAGCCTTCACGCCTCCACCACATGCAGTGGTGCACTGGGATGGTAAGCTGGTTAAGGTGAGAACACGTTTAGGTACTACATTAATATTTTACCAAAGCCTAGACTATTGTAATATATTGTTAGAAAAGCTTGGAGAAAAAGGCAGCCTTGATAATTCTTCATTATCTGTCTGAATTTTTATATTTCTCTTATTTCAGAACGTCGTGGGAGAAGAAGAACACCGACAGGCCATCTTCATCTCAGGGTGCGGCCATGAGGAAGGGAAGCTGCTTGCTGTCTTGCCAGTGAAGGACGGCACTGGCCTGACCCAGGCACGCGCAACAGCTCGTGCTATCGAGGACTGGAGCTGCGCTTCAAACGTCAAGGCACTGTGCTTTGATACAACGTCGTCCAACACAGGGCGAGTCCAAGGTGCGGTTGTCCATCTGGAGGCGCTGGTGGAAAAACAGCTGTTGAGGCTTGGGTGCAGACACCACGTCATGGAACTGGTGGTGAGAGCCGCTGCCAGCAACATCTTCGGCAAAACATCGGCCCCTACGGACCCTCTCTTCCAGACTCTTAAGAAAAGGTGGAGTCAACTAGATCACTCTCAGTATCTCAGGCTGGACATTGCAAATCTACCAGAGTCTGACTGGCTCAGTCACCTCCGACACAGGACCGTTAGCTACCTGCTGACCGTCACAGAATGGGCCAGAGAGGATTACCGAGAAGCGGCAGAACTAACGCTCCTCGTCCTCGGTGTGAATCATCCGCGCGGCACGCACTTTCTGCGTCCTGGCGCATGTCACCACGCTCGCTGGATGGCGAAGATCATATAATACCTCAAGATCTACATGTTTAGCCACCAGCTAGAGCTCAGCAATGACCTGTGCGTCAAGCTGCAGAGGATGGCGATCTTTGTGTCTCTGCTGTACACACCGGCGTGGCTGAAATCACCAGGAGCCGAGGATGCGCATGTGAATGACCTGCAACTGCATCACGAACTCCTCCGCTACAGGGCCGTGGACTGTGAGGTGGCTGATGCGGCGCTGGCGGTCGCGAGCCGCCACCTGTGGTATCTAAGGCCACAGACCGTCGTTCTGTCGCTGTGCAGCGAGAAGTTGAGTGCGGCAGAGAAAAAGGAGATGGCGACCAAATTGAGCTGCCTAGAAGAAACGAACGACTACGCCAACGACAACTTGGTCATCCAACAGACTACACGGCTTTCCGACCTGATAGATGAACGTTCATGGATGATCTTCAAGGAGCATCATGTGTGCGGCACAGCATGGCTGATGTCACCGGTGGAAGACTGGGAGAAAAACGAAGAGTTCATGAAGCTGAAAGATTTCTCCAGAAGCCTGAAGGTAACCAATGACGTGGCCGAAAGGGGAATAAAGCTTATGCAGGACTTCATTGGTTCAGTCACGAAGGATGAGCAGCAGCTGCAGGATGTCATGCAACTTGTGGAAAAGCACAGGAAGCAGATGAGTGGCTTCAGCAAGTCTGCTCTGATGCAACTGTGAGAGTTGAATAGAGGGGGGATTGAACTTTCAAATTGCATCTCCTCCTAGAGTTATTGACCTCTTTCAATGATGTTTGTTTTTTTAAGAGGGAAATATATCATGGAAAAGACTGTGACGGCAAAATATTGATATGTGTTTTCGAATAAATGGAAAAGTCAAAACTATGAATATTTTGGAATCTGGTTCCCTTAACGCAGGTAAAGCCTTTGACCTGAACTAGAAGGTCAACTAAGAGGTGCATGCAATCGAATTAGGTGTCAATGGAAAGCTGAATAGCTGCTCTAGCCAGCGATTAGGGTTAAGTAGTGAAAAGCAGCGCGATTGCTGATCTATAAGAGAAAAAGCTTGAGTTTTGACGTTTTTTCGCAAAAATTCATTTTTTATATTTAGATTCGCGACCCCTAGAACATGTTGGATTTCATTAATTCTGGCACCAATGAATTTAGAAGTAACGAAATAATGGGAAAATACACCCCCACCCACAATTTTCTAAAATTGGGAAAAATGAGCAACCCTATTGTACATCCAATACAACATGTATATAGAGAGCACATTGTGAGTTTCCTTTCTCCATTCCATCCTGAGTGTGAACCAAACATCTCATACCCTACAATTGGTGACTCCCGGAGATTCGCACTCACACAGGATGGAGGAGAAACTGATCACGCTCCCAGTCTTCAAGCAACATGGAAGACTGGCTTATCCACACAGAAGCAGCTCTCATCGGCTCTACAACTACTGTTTCTACACCGCAGGTTAGACACCCTAGAGCAGCACTGCTACTCTAAGCAGACACCAGCTCCTCTTCCTGCCCCAAGCACCACGTCCTACCGACCCCAGCACACCCGTCCTGCCTCAGACGCCGACCCCGGCCCAACAGTAACCCCTGCCGCCCTTGATGCGGCCTCTGTTCCTGAGTGCGGACACACACACCCCTCTTTTCTCCCCCAGGTACTCCCTGCTAATGTCCTGCACCCTGCTGCTGTCGTGGACCCAGCTGCTGTCACGAGCCCTCATCTGCTTCTGCTGACGCAGCCCCTGCTCCTGACCCAGGCCCACACACCCCAGCAGGCGCATCTGACGACCCTGTACCTGCCGTGAGGGAAGCACAACATTCATCGCCTCCACACACACTTATTCTCCCTCTCTACTCCCACAGATATTGTGTATCTAGACAGTTGTCCCCAGCGACCGGCTCATCCACGCCATCGCCGTTGTCTCACATGAGGCATGCACCGCCCGTTCTGCCTCACATGTGCTAAGCAACCCTGCAGACAACAAGTCTCCTACACCGCCTGGAGGGAAGGGGGAGTATTGTAGTGGAATTCTCTCCTACAAACGCTATTTGTCGCTGCCTAGCCGACCCCACCAATTCCCCAGTGTATGCCTCGTGGTCTAGGTCAACCAGCGCCGCCATACATCACGGAGCGGGGGTCAACTGCTAAGCCACGCCTACCCCCGCTATTTAAGACCTGACCTCGTGGTGATCTCTCTCTTTCTACCTACAGCCGCAGCCAGCAACACCTCCTCCTCCGCCTGCCTGGCGGCCTTCGCTCCTCCGCCTGCCTGGCGGCCCTCGCTCCTCCGGATGCCTGGCGGCCCTCGCTCCTCCGCCTGCCTGGCGGTCCTCTCTCCCGTTGGCGAGCATGGCGACCCACAAGCTGTCCTTCTCTGAGCGTCCTCACCAACCAGCTCTCTCTACATCACGCTTGTAACCATGCTGCCTTCCCAGCACCAAGCTGCATTGTACATCCAATACAACATGTATATAGAGAGCACATTGTGAGTTTCCTTTCTCCATTCCATCCTGAGTGTGAACCAAACAATCTCATACCCCACAGACTTTCACACGTATACAGTATACGGAAACGCTTTTTTGATATACAGTATTTTTCCAAGAGATATCATCAATTAATATTTTAAACAAAAAGGAAAAGTTAAACGCTAATAAACAATCTTGCAAGGAATATGTTCGTCCACCCAGTAAGTAGTGACCACAGCTCCAGCAAATGTATACAGTAATTGTACCATCGATTGCAATCTTTGCAGTACGCACATGAGTTCATGAGTTGTGAGTTCGAGTCCTGCACTAGATGCAGTTTTTTCACGGGAATTAGCCCACCTAGGTACAGGTCACCGACCCACATGGGACCCTTGGGAACGAAAAAAAAAAAAAAAATGTAAAAAATAATTAAACAAATCTTGAGTGAGAAACGAAAAGTCGAAAATCTACTTTCCCGAAAAGTAGATAATCTACTTTTCAGGAAAGTAGATAACCAACTTTCACGGAAAGTAGATATTTCCCATTTTCCATGATACAAATTTCCCGTTTTCTATGATAAGTAGATAACCAACTTTCCCAGAAAGTAGAAATATTTCACATTTTCTGTGATACAAATTTCCCGTTTTCTATGATAATCTACTTTGGAAAATATGTTAATACCTCCCAAAAAGTCGATAATCTACTTCCACGAAAAGTCGAAAATCTACTTTCCCGAAAAGTAGATAATCTACTTTTCAGAGTAGATAACCAACTTTCCTGAAAGTAGATATTTCTTATTTTTTTAGAGACACAGCCCCTGTTTCTATGATAATTTATCACTTCAGTAATTAGGGCATTTTTCCCAAAGTCGATAATCTGCTTCCCTGAAAGTCGATAATCTACTTTCCTTTAGTAGATAATCTACTGGGAAAGTAGATAATCAACTTTCCCGGAAAGTAGATATTTCCCATTTTCTATGATACAAATTTCCCGTTTTCATGATAGCAGATAACCAACTTTTTCCAGTAAAAGTAGAAATATTTGCCATTTTCTGTGATACAAATTTCCTGTTTCTATGATAATCTACTTTGGAAAATATGTTAATACCTCCCAAAAAGTCGATAATCTACTTCCACGAAAAGTCGAAAATCTACTTTCCCGAAAAGTAGATAATCTACTTTTCAGGAATGTAGATAACCAACTTTCCCTGAAAGTAGATATTTCGCATTTTTTATGAGACAAATTTCCCGTTTTCTATGATAATCTACTTCGCAAAATTAGGCAATTTTTCCCAAATAGTCGATAATCTGCTTCACCGAAAAGTCGATAATCTACTTTCCCGAAAAGTAGATAATCTACTTTTCGGGAAAGTAGATAACCAACTTTCCCGGAAAGTAGATTTTTCCCATTTTCTATGATACAAATTTCCCGTTTTCTATGATAAGTAGATAACCAACTTTTCCAGAAAGTAGAAATATTTCACATTTTCTGTGATACAAATTTCCCGTTTTCTATGATAATCTACTTTGGAAAATATGTTAATACCTCCCAAAAAGTCGATAATCTACTTCCACGAAAAGTCGAAAATCTACTTTCCCGAAAAGTAGATAATCTACTTTTCAGGAAAGTAGATAACCAACTTTCCCGGAAAGTAGATATTTCCCATTTTTTATGATACAAATTTCCCGTTTTCTATGATAATCTACTTTGGAAAATATGTTAATACCTCCCAAAAAGTCGATAATTTACTTCCACGAAAAGTCGAAAATCTACTTTCCCGAAAAGTAGATAATCTACTTTTCAGGAAAGTAGATAACCAACTTTCCCGGAAAGTAGATATTTCCCATTTTTTATGATACAAATTTCCCGTTTTCTATGATAATCTACTTCGCAAAAGTAGGTAATATAACCCCAAAAAGTCGATAATCTACTTCCACGAAAAGTCGAAAATCTACTTTCCCGAAAAGTAGATAATCTACTTTTCAGGAAAGTAGATAACCAACTTTCCCGGAAAGTAGATATTTCCCATTTTCCATGATACAAATTTCCCGTTTTCTATGATAAGTAGATAACCAACTTTCCCAGAAAGTAGAAATATTTCACATTTTCTGTGATACAAATTTCCCGTTTTCTATGATAATCTACTTTGGAAAATATGTTAATATCTCCCCAAAATTCGATAATCTACTTCCACAAAAAGTCGAAAATCTACTTTCCCGAAAAGTAGATTATCTACTTTTCAGGAAAGTAGATAACCAACTTTCCCAAAAAGTAGATATTTCCCATTTTCTATGATACAAATTTCCCGTTTTCTATGATAATCTACTTCGCAAAATTAGGTAATATTTCCTCAAAAGTCAATAATCTACTTCCCGAAAAGTCGATAATCTACTTTCCCGAAAAATAGAAAATCTACTTTTCGGGAAAGTAGATAACCAACTTTCCCGGAAAGTAGATATTTCCCATTTTCCATGATACAAATTTCCCGTTTTCTATGATAAGTAGATAACCAACTTTCCCAGAAAGTAGAAATATTTCACATTTTCTGTGATACAAATTTCCCGTTTTCTATGATAATCTACTTTGGAAAATATGTTAATACCTCCCAAAAAGTCGATAATCTACTTCCACGAAAAGTCGAAAATCTACTTTCCCGAAAAGTAGATAATCTACTTTTCAGGAAAGTAGATAACCAACTTTCCCGGAAAGTAGATATTTCCCATTTTTTATGATACAAATTTCCCGTTTTCTATGATAATCTACTTCGCAAAATTAGGTAATATAACCCCAAAAAGTCGATAATCTACTTCCACGAAAAGTCGAAAATCTACTTTCCCGAAAAGTAGATAATCTACTT